TATATGATATAAAAATAAAGATATTTATAAAATAAATAAAAATTATAAAAAAATATGATTTTATATAATCAAGAAAAGATTATAAAATTAAAGAATTTTATATCACTATAGTAATAATAGTCTAATTTCTCTCTCTTTATTTATTAATTAATTTATTCTTTTCCAATCTAATATTATTAAAATAAATTCAAGTAAAAATCCACTTATAGGATTTACTATAATAATAATTTTAATACTTTATTATAATATATTTTAATATTATAAGTTAAATAAGAACTAAATATTTTGTTATATATTTTTAAAATTTTATTAAGATAAATAAATTATAACTTATATATTGATATATATATTTAATAAATAAATTTATTTTATATATTGAATATACTATATATATTATAATAAAATCAATAATTTATATTTATTAATTATTATAAATAAATTAATTCTTGATAAATTACTTAAATATCTTTAAAATCTTCTTTTAATATCTTAACTCAAGTAGAAAATTAAAATTTTTTCTTGATTAATCAAGTATTAAAATATAATTCTTTTATAAATTTTTATAAATTTTATATAAATATTATATATTAAAAGTTATCACTATTTTTTTAATCAAAATATTTTGTAAAAATTTAAAAAAATATATTAATTTTATTACTCAAACAAGATAATTTAAATTTTTAAAAAATTAATATTTAAAGAAGAATTTTGCATAAAATATTATATTGTTTAATATTTATTTTTGAGAATATTAAATTTTACAAGTTTTTTAAGAAATAAATATAAAATAAATTTAAATTTATACTTATTATTGATCTATTTTTTATATAAATTCTATTAACTTTTATAATAAAGTAATAAAATTCTTATTAATAAAGTTATATTTTATTACTATTTGATTATAGAAAGTAAAGATCTTTAAATTAATAAATATTCTATTTAAAATTTAATAATAAAATTAATAAATATTTTCATATAATATATATCTAATTAAGATATATAAAATCTTACAAATTATAATAATAATTAGCTTTACTATTTTATTAATATATATTATATAATATAAATAATAATAAATAATAAATATAGTATATAATAAATACAAGAAATAAAAGAAATAACAAACATGAAAAATAATAAATATAAAAAATAAAAATATTTATATATATTTATATATATAATAAATTATAATAAGTAGCTTCTGTTAATCTTTTATCAATATATTAATATATTTATTTTTTAGTATAAAATATATTTAATAATAAAGTATTTTTTTCTTTTCAAAAGTTATATTTTATTCTTTTCAAAAAAAAATAAAAGTCATATTATTTTTCTTTAATAAAAAATATCATATCTTTATTTTCTTCTCTTTTCAAAAAAATGAAAAAATCATATATATTTTATCTTTCTCTTCAAAAAAAATAAAAACAAAACATATAATTCCAGATGATATATAAATAAAAGCAATTTCAAATATCTTCTTGCTTAATAATTATCAGATTATTCTTCATAATTTTTTAATTCTTTTAAATTATCAAGCACATTAACTAATTATACGCGAACCACAGCAATCAAAGCATGATCTTCAGTAACAGCAATCCAGTAAGAAATAATTTTTAATTTTTGTCTTAATTTTTATTTTTATGAATAATTTTTTTCTTCTTTGTATTTCAAATTTTTATAATTTGGAAGTGGAAGTCATATACTAAAGCATCAGTTGGGATGATCTGGTTTTAGTTATGTGGAGATTGTGAGTGGAGCGGAGTTCTCGTGTTACGAGGAATAAAATTACAAAAAAAGCTTTCAGGTATACTTTGTTTTTTAATTAAAAATAATGTTTTAAATAAATAAACCGTTTTTATTTATTCAGTAGTTGCACTTAAATTCATGATCGAATAGCACATTTTCTCCCGCATTCCTTGTGAGTATATTTTTTTTCTTTAAAAAAAAGAACAAATAAAACATATAAGCATGTTTAAAAAAGAGCGTTACTATGCCCGATTGAAAAGTAGTGTTATTATGCCCAATTATTTAAAGGTGAGTTTCTTTTGCAATAATAATTATTTTTGATTTCGCGATTGGTTTCCGTTTTTAAGATATTAAGAAATAATTAAAAAATCCCAATTATGAATGAATACTCAATACCGATCAATACGTAATGAATTTTTTTCGATACTCTGAGCCAGGATAATCAATAACGGTGAAAGTTAGTCGAATTGCAATTTTCACAGGTATGATTTATCAATTTATTTCTGTAACTTTCTTCTTATAATCGTGACGTGACGTTGTTATCGTTGTTTTAATAGAGGCCGGAAATATTACTCATTTAAATTTATTGGAGGATCGTAATTGTTGCCATTGTTTTTTTGACGATTAAAACGATGGTCATTATTTTTTTCGCTAGTGTTGACGATTATACGATTATAATGATGTAGTTCATGTTTCTTTTAATTTCATTTATTACTGGTTTTACCAAGTTGAAAGTCATGATGCAGAAATTTCTCTTTTCGAATAGTTAGGGAAGTGCCATAAATTAGGTGATTTTTGAGGGAGGGAAGGGGGGGGGGTCCCCAAACAGTGATGTCCCATATTTTACTAATTAACTATGACTTGAATTTTTTGAGAACCATTGTGTCCGCACAAGTATTGTTTAAGCAAATTTTGAGGGTGGTTTATTATGCAAAATATGATAATTTAGACCAGCACTATAATAGTGTCGCATTATAATCATGCCAGCCTGAATTATCATAATGCTAGTTATTCAATATTTTCATTGGTCGGTATGATCGTGACAGTGCATATTTTTTATTCAGTATCCGAAACGCAATCTCTCACATACTTAATATCAGTGCTCTTAGATTCAACATTGGCGGAAGGAAGAAACGTGAAGTCTTCTACAAACGCAGAGTTGGTTACTAAGCCCTGGCGTCCTAGCAACTGGTCAAATGCAGCAAAAACTCTGTATCTGTAGCAGTTGGAGGTATAGTTGCTGACTGTATTGAGATCATCTTTTGAACATTATCTTGACAACGAATTGGAGGAATAGGTGTTGGCTGTGTTGAGGAATTTTTTGATGACGAACTGGAGGCATAAACATTGGTTGTGTTGAGGAGGTTTTTTGGATATCTCTTTGACGAGGGTGAGTGGTTTTTTTGTGGTCCATAATCATTTTAAGAGCTGGAAAATATTTGCCACAGCAAAGTCTTCGATGCATTTCAGGGGAGATAGATGGGCAACATTCATCATACTTGGGAAGTTTCACTTTATCCATATAATGTAGTATATGGATAGGATTCAAATAATGATTATCTTTTCCCTTGGTGACAGGCGGAAGAAATCCTTTAAAAGCTCAATAGCTTCTATGACGCGTAATTCACTGCAATACATGCGATTATTACACTTCTTCACATCCAAAGAATATTGACAGATTCGGGTATGTTCTTCAATCCATTGCCATGTAGGTCATTCTTTTCTATTTTTTTCGAAAGGATCTATGTTTTCATCAAGGTAAAATGTACATATAGGTTTTCCATGTACTTTATCACAGCGCCAAAGTTCGAAAGTTGCTGACCCGAATATTTAAAATTTTTTCTACACAGGTTTTCATCACAAACTTTTCCTTGACTATTGAGATGAGAGCCATGATTGTTGATGGGAAGCTCTATACCGGCCAACTTTTCAGATAAGCTTGACATACTTTGTTCTACTGGATTATAGACTAATTGTCCTGGAGCATGTGTTCGAACTGAAAGGTAATCTAGATCCATCTCCTTGAAAAATCTGCAGTATTCTATCATGTTTTTAACATGTCTTGGGTTCTCATTTGGATCTTCATCCACAAGAAGTATCATAATAGATTTCAATTTGCACTCCCATATTAAATCTTGTGCAAAGGTATCCATTGTTTGCATTTAATTAAGTCAGATATATGAGATATAGTTGATATACTAACGAAGTATTCTGGTCTTACAAATATTACAAGCTGTCCTTGACGAAGACTTTTATTAGAATCAAGTAGATTAATCAAAAGATATACCGTATATCTCCGAATATAAGCCACCAAAAAATGCAAGATTTTGGCAGGGCAAAGGGGAGAGATTGCTTATATTTGAGTATAAATTTATTATGTTTTATATATAATATTTTCAGAACCTCAGATCTTAAAAAGAGATGGTTGCTTATATTCAGAGATATATGATGCAGATAATACAAGCTTCATTTTTGAACCATGTAAAAAATCATGATCTGAATTGGTGACAGGCTCATTTTGAATTTGAATTGTTTGAAAAGTTCTACCAACTGCAGGTATATCAACTTTGGTTTTATCATCTTGTAATATAATTATAATGTGATTAGAGAATGCTTGAGCTAATTCTCTAGTTATTTTTATTAAAGCTAAATAATAATATTCAGCCAAGTGATATTTTATTTCTGTTCATACACCTATACTAATTGCTATATAATGTGTAAAAATACCAGAAATTTTAATTTTAGTTATATTCAATGAATATTTATTAAATATATATACTTGATAATTTAGTGAAAAAGTTTACTTAAAGTATTTAATAACTTATCTTAATAAATTTTTCATAATTAATATTTTTTATTAAACTTTTTTTAAAAAAAATTGATTATAAAAAATTTAAAATACTTTTTTAATTTTTTTTATTATTTAATAAATATTTAATTAAATTATATAAAATTTTAAATATATACTTGATAATTTAGTAAATAAATTTACTTAAAATTAATTTGCAAAATAATAATCAAACTTATTTATAATAATTTATTTAAGTTTTTTTATTAATAATTTTAAAAATATAAATTATAAAAAATTTTAATAAGATAAGTATTTAAATAGTTTTAAATAAAGTTATTTATTATACTCTCAAGAAGTTTTTATATTATTTATATAAATATTTATAAAAAAAATTAAAATTTTCAGTTTTTTTTATATTTTATACATGCTTAATAATAGAGCTGATATATAGCAAAAGTACTGGCATAATAAGATAATATATATATTTAAGAATATTATTTTAATAAATATATAAAGTATTTTTTTTCTATTTTTTTTAAATATTTATTAATATGAATTTAATAATTGACTTTCTTTTTTGCTTATTTATAATATCAAATTTTATATAATTATATAATTAATTAAGTAAATCTGAATTTTTTTGAAGTTTTAAAGATCTTTCAAATATATTATAAATTTTAATAATTTCTTTTTATATAATAGCTTGTATTTTTTTATACAATTTTTTTGATTCTTTATATTATATTTAAATCTAGCAAGTTATTAATTTTCTTGTTTAATTATAATTTGTCTTTATTATAATTTTTTTAATATATAACTTCATAAATTATGATCTTTAATCTATATAATAAGATTTTTATATTTTATAATCTTACTTTTTGTTTTATTAATTTTTTTAATAGCTTAATATTTTGCTAAAATATTAGATAAAATAATAAGTATTTAGTAAGAAATTAGAATTATTAAAGAAATTAAATAATTAAGTAAAATTTATATAAATAGTTATTAAAAATTTAATTATAATAAAAAAAATAGAAATTTTATTAAATATTATTTAATTAAATTTTAATATTGTTTATTTATTGATAATAAATAATTTTTCATTTTTTATTTATATTTTCTATTAAAACTTACTTTTTTAATTACATATTATCTTATTTAATTATAATATAATAAAAAAATATTAGTAAATTCATAATAAAGATATTAAGATATAGTATAAAAATATATTTTATTAAATAATAAAGCAAAAAAAAGATTTATATTCTAAATAAATATTATAATTATTATAATAAATTAAATTTAAATATGTTAAAAAAATTATTATTCTTACAGTAACAATCAAAAGTAATGACTCGGAGACTAAATTTATTAATAAAACATAGTGAAAATTAAAATTTTCTCTCTATATTAAAATTTATAATTTTATCAAGAAATAATTTTTATTTTTATATTAAAATAAAGTTTA